TATGAGGAGGGCTGCTGAAGCACTGCCTGCATGGTTCTAGAGACCACTGCACAGCGGTCCCCACATGCAGGACACCAGGGAACTAAAGTGGGACAGCACCCCAAGTTTGAACCCATAAAGGAGGGGAGATGCAATGCACTTTATACAAACATTTGACTCCATACAATAGGATCAATGATTGTTACATTATAATCTGATCCAAAGCCAGAGGCTACTAACCAGCAAACATCTACTAAGTCTTCCCCAATAGGATGTGCTTGAATAAGTATTATGTGCTGATCTTTTAGATAAATGAATTATCTATGTTTTATTCTTATATCATCTTTTAAACAATGATATTTTCAATTTCATCTCTAAATATAGCAAAAAAAGAATGTTTAGCATTCATATGAAGGTCAAATTACAGAATAACTAACATGATTAGATTGTACTGTCACTGATTTACAAAGATATATTAACAGTTAAAATTCCTGAGTTTTATTAACCATTTAAAGGTTTAATGACATAATAAAATCATATAACAAACCACTTTTAAATGATCTTATATGAAAAGGGAAGTCCAGTCATGTAAAGAACTCTATAGAACTGTAAATGCAAAATAAGCAGAACATTCCATACTAGCATACGATCTTCCCAAACCAGACTGAGAACAGATTATGAATGTGATCTGCAAGGGGTTAAATAGGTTTCTACTTCTAAGCTATATTTCATGCTATAAACTACATAGCATATGCTTTAATTATAATTACTGTATTGCTTTGCTATTGTCTGCATCTACATATGCTATACTTAAGGCTATCATGGTTAATTTTACTACTGACACTTCTACTATTGCATTTTCTCATATGCAAATACACAATACAATATATTGATGATGTAACATAGCAGTGGATTTGCTGTTGCCATGACAACTGGGTTGATGGGACAATGTAAGGTTTTCACTAGAATTCATTTGACTGACAGCCTCTATGAAGCAATAAGCACAAATCTATCACCTTGCCAAAAATCTGGCTCTAGAAAGTCTGCTCCACTCACTTAGAGTCCTGGTTCAGCTCTCAAGCAGAAAGGACTGATTCCACATTTGGTACAATTAGTATAGTCCATGTGATTGAATCTCAGACTGGTATATTTACAACATATGTGTCCTATATATGTGGGAGGGCAAACTGAAGCAAGTAATATAAATGTAAACCCCATTTTTTGCCAGATAGCTAACTTAGACCTCAATTTAAATCTTTTGGATAAGCTTTTCAAATGCTCACGATCTGTTAGAAATGATTTTATCTACAGAAGTCAAGATTAAGGTTCACTGGAATTTTAGATATAGTAAGAGGTCTCCTTTAACTAAGAAAAAAAAGACACTGATAGGAATGGTGACATTATCTCAAAAACATCTATCTCCCAGTCGCTCATAGGAATGACAGTGTTGTCACTCATCTATTTGCAGTACACCCATAAGAAGCAATATACAAGCATTAGAATGTTCTGTGTCATATTGCTATACTGTATGACAATGAATGTGAAGATAATCGATTTTCGATGGTTCTAAGGAGGAAGTGCCTCTAGTGGCTGTCAATCTGACGGCCACTACATACATATTCTATGACTAAGTTAAACATTGCAGTTACTCAGAAACAGCAACACACTGCCAGAGAAATGGGGCCGCACCTATGCACTAAAACCACTACATTAAGATGTACTTGTTCTGATGCTTAGTGTCCTTTTAATGAAAGAAGCAGTTAAAGTGCCATAAATAAACTTAAAATCAAGTTGTTTTTTTCAGGAGTCTGTATTGTAGAAGAATTAAATCTGAATTGCTACTTGTAATTTTTCCAAATAAAAAATTTTAGCTCTAGTTTTGCTATTCAGATTTTAGTTTGGTTACAATTCGGACTTTAGTGAGTGAAGGTCAACTATGGGAATTGGCCTTATATTCTATAAATCAGTGGTCCTCATTCTACGGCTTACTGCTCAGCCAACTTCTATTTGCACCATATAATGAAGATAATAACCATCCCTTTGCCAATGTCAGTGTCCAAAGGGTTACTGTATCAATAGAAGGATATGTACTTCAAAACCCCGAGATTCAATAAACAGTGGTGTAATATTTTGTTCTAAAACAAAACTTTCTTTCTGTTCTTTTTTATTTTAATATACAAATTCTAAGTATTGTTCAATGCGCTAATCAACTTGATGATATTAATAGAATTTCAATCAAAATAAAATGTATCACCTATGAGTTTATGCCATTCTAAAAACATAAATCAACAAATGCAGCCAATATTATTTTCCTCATATTAATTAAGATTTCATTGCAAGCAAATAATGCTTCCTGTGCGTGACAAAGTGTGTGATAAATCATGGGAGGCGTCTTGTGTTCACAGATGTAGAACCTTTATGATGATCTCTGAGCTCTTCCTCCATCTCCAAATTAGATTCTCATTAACCTTAAGTTTCAATGATCACTTTAAAGATGATAAGTGATTGGGACTATGGTTAATTAGGATGCTACAGAATTTAATCAAAGTGTTTGTAGGTTAGCACATGACCATAGGCAAAGTTTTATAATGTGCATACTACTGCTAAACAAGACAAAAAAGGGAAACAATGTGCATAGAGGCTGGACATAGAAACACAACCTCCTTACATTCTACCACTCCCCAACTCACACTGCCATGTTCTACCCCCCACACTCACTCAATATAAACTGTCCTCCTGCCACACTCACCCCCACACTCTCCCCTAAAGTTACACTGTCACAGTCACACTATCACAGTCAACTTCTTACACTTACTCTTTCACGGTCACCCTGACACTGTCATACACACTCTTATCCGGAGCCCCTCCCACCCCCCCCCACACAGACAGTAAACCTCATACATACACAGTCACCTCATACACACGCAGTCATAGTCACACAAACAACATAGCCTCTCCATAAACACCACATATGCATGAAGACCACATGCCTTCCCCATAACACATACACTCCCAGACACAGAGATACATGCTTGTAGACACAAAGATACATTACAGACAGCCACAAATTCACAAGAATATTCAGTGCCAGACACAGACGCTCAGAAACATATCAACTCACACAATGTCAGACAAGCACACGTACCAATATACACTGCCAGACACATTGGAATTTTGTATCTATGTATGTCAGTGTGTGTGTGTGTTTCTGAGCTTTAGTGTGTTGGTATACCTCTGTGTGTGAATGTATGAGAGTGTGTATATGTGTGCCTAATTTGTATTTAGATTTTTATGTATTACATTTATTACTTACTTTTTTGTGTCTTTATATTTATTTATTATTTTAGACCCTATGACTTTGTTTTTTTCCAGAACGATGGCATCTGACTACACACATTCAAGACTTACACTTTTGGAATTCAACGTCTATATATGAGTGGAACACTTGATGCGGTAATCTGAAAACCGGAGGTACCACAACAGAGATCTGAGATATTGGTTTTGGTGCCATTATGAGCTTTAAAAAAATCTGGTGGAAAAGGATTCCAACTCTGCTGTAGATTACCCTGAAGAAGTCTGTGCAAGACAGACAAAACACTTCGGAAATTTGCACTTTGTTTTATTTTTTTTTATTGGTGGATGTAATTTTGAATACCTGTATTTGTTTCTATTGCCAATTGTGCTGTTTGATGGGTAATTGAGGAGTGGAACCATGTGAGACTTCAGAACCAATGGTTTTAGGAACTGTGGTCCTACTAATCAAGTTGAGATAGGTTAGAATAGCACTTTACTAATAAAGTGCGTTTTATATTAAAAGTGTGATTTTAATGCTGAGTTTCAAGTACATATACCTTTGAAGAAGCTTTGGAGATTCCCGATGATGAAATCCTAGAGTGGGTGATATGCTATTTTTTATTCTTTTGCAAGTGCAGCACATATTTTTAACACATTGTTTTTACCCTATGTATGTATTTTTGTATCGCTTTGTCTGTAGTGTTGTGTTATGTATGTGTATGTGTGTGTAAGAGTGTACATATGCATGCGTATATCCAGGGCGAGATTAAGAGCCCAGTGGGCCTTGTGCTGACAATTATGAGGGGCCTAAGTACAGAATCTTATCGACCAAAAACACTAAAACAGTCATAGCTGCCAAGCGTCATGTATCTGGTGGAGATGTTGCCGGAGGGAAACTAATAGGATGCAGCTATAAGAAAACTCAGTTTCTCTTAAAATATGGTAATCTCTCTCTAATTCATGCTTTCATCTTTCAAGTAAATCCGTACCCCCTAACAGCAGTGTCCAGTGACGCAGCAAGTCAATGGGCGGTTTAAAAGGGTGGGCCACTGACACGGATCATGTAACCAGAACTCCTTAAAGGAACGAACATGCACAAGAAGGAGGTGTGTCTGCTCAAAGAATTGGAAGGCTAGCCTGGCTTGAATGCATGGTAGGCTGCCTGCCAATCATGCATGCCGGCAAACAGCATCCTGAGCTTGGCATAAATGCGTCTAATGATGCACTCGCGCCATGCTTTCTCAGGACTGTCCCCTAGCACTCACATGCCCACTTGTCTCCTTACCTTCTTACTAGCAGGCAGAACCTCCTGGTATATAGTCTGAGACAGAGAAAAGGTGGATGTAGTGAGTGTAGAAGAAAGGGAACATGCCACAGTGTTAGAGAGATCAAAGTCAGCATTACCTTAACTAATTTCATTTCAGCTAGTCCACACAAGGTTTGTTTCCATATATCCCTCTTAAGTTTCCATACTTAAGCAAGAGTATGTGAAGAGTAGTTAGGGTTGCCACCTTTCTTGAAAAAAAAATACAGGTCTTACTAATTTGCATAGCTAATTATGTATGCATAAAATCACATGATGTAAATCACAAGGATTGACATAAGAGAAAATAATGTAAAATCACCAAAAAAACTACTTACAGGTTAATTCTGCTGTATAGATGGATTGCTCCCAGTGTCCCCATGTCACCCAGTGTCCATGTCCCCATGTCACTAGGGGACACTGAGACATGGAGACACTGGGAGACTTGGGTACACTGAGACACTAGGGACACAGTGTCCCCAGGTGTCTCAGTGTCCCCATGTCTCCCAGGCAGTGTCCCGGGTGTCTCAGTGTCCCCATGTCTCCCACTGTTTCAGTGTCCCTAGTGTCCATGTTCCCATGTCTCCCAGTGTCCCTAGTGTCTGTGTCCCCACGTCTCCCAGTGTCCCTATGTATGACAGTGTCTCAGTGCTCCATGTCTCCCAGTGTCCCCATGTCACTAGGGGACACAAAGACATGGGGTCACTGAGACACCAGGGACACTGGCTGGGAGACATGGGGACACTGAGACACTTGGGGACATTGTGTCCCTAGTGTCCCCAAGTGTCTGTGTCCCCATGTGCGTCTATTTCCACAAGTTTTAGTGTCCCCATGTGTCTGTGTCCTCATTTCTTCCAGCCTCCCCTAGTGTCTCAGTTTTTCCAGGTCTCAGCATCCCCTAGTGTCTCAGTGTCCCCATGTTTCCCTGCGGCCTTTACCCTATCCCTCAATTCCCTGAGCTGAAGGCTGTTTCCGCAGGCTGGGAGCTGCTGTCTAGACTCTGTGCTGTGTAGTTGCTCCACTGCGGATCAGTGAGTAGAGAGATTCAGGTATATGCTGTAACTTCCCAGCCCTGCCTCTCTCCACACACAGTGACACCTACTAGCCGGTGCTGGTATTGCAGAGTAATCTCTGTTTATACTGAGAAAAATACCAGCATTTGTATTGCCGGTATTACTGCAATATCGGCACCGTCCAGGCATCCTCAAATAAAGACAAGATTAAAACTGCCCACAATCTGTCCAACGCGTTTCCTCCCACTGCAGGGACTTCCTCAGGGACTTTGCATTCATTGTTGTACCTGTCACACTGCTGCAAAGTCCATGAGGAAGTCCCTGCAGTGGGAGGAAACGCGTTGGACAGATTGTGGACAGTTTTAATCTTGTTTTTATGCTGATTGATCCTTACCTATGTGTAAGTAATAAATGCTTTTTATATTTTGTGCACATCTTTCTATATTTCATTCTGGATGCATTTTATTTTCCATGTAATTGAGATCTGGAAGATCAGACATTGGAAGAAGAGAACTGCCTGAGAGCTACATTGATTTTTGATATGCCCTGTTTTCACAGCCAAAGCGTGAGTGACCCATTGGCTCATATTATCATTATAATAGTATCATACGGAGTTGCACTATGTTTTTTTTTTTATTCCCCTATAGTTGGATTGGCCGAATATTTGTATCTATGTATTTGTGGAAGATTTGAGGAGATCTTCGGGTTTAAATCTACAAATTAGAGGGAAGTTTCTTTACATATACTTTTCTATCTACCAGAACACTTGGTGTTATATTATATGCTATAATAGTAATATTGGTGGAAATTATAATACCACAAAGTGATACAGCCTCAAATAAATACAGCCATGGTGGCAAAACCCTAAGAGTAGTGTGTGTGTTTTAACAATGGGCTTATTCCATGGGCCGGGGCCTGGAGCTGCAGCTCCATCAGCCCCTATGTTAATCTGGCCCTGCGTATATCAATGTATGTGTGTGCGTGTATTTTTGTTTGTGTCCAAAGAGGCAACATGGCTGCAATGTGAGAGTGATATGTTATGGGCAATGGCATGATAATAAAAGTAGGCCGGCAGTGGAAGAACACTCTACACAGTCACAATGAGTCTGCTATTTTATTTTATTTTATGTTGCGGGGCCCCAGCGGCGAGCATTATAAAATCAAATATTTGCCACCTTTGCGCACTGCACCAATTGGGTGCTTTAAACCTGCCATTTGTATCTATATTTTCAAGTCTTATTTTATTTTGTCAATAAACATATATTTTTTACACATATTCGATTCCCCACTTTATTTCTGTTGCTTGGAGATGAGATGGAGGCCTGGATAGACACCTGTGGGCGTGTCATATCGAGCCTGATATGTCTCTTTATATTGTGAGTGAGATTATTTTCATATGTTTTGCTGGAATTGTTTTACAGATCACACTGTATTTTTTCTGTGTTTTTCTTTTTCTCTTATTTCAATTTTGAAATCTACATATATAACAGCACACAGGTGAGAATTGCATTAAATTTGAAATTCTCATTGTATTCACTTTTAATTCCTGACAATTCTCACTTTACTGAATAATCCTCTATGTGGGAAAAATATTACATATTGAAGTATTTATTTACAAGACTAATTTCCTTCATCTAACTTCATTATTTGGTGCATAATTTTTTCAAAGTGTTTCGGTCCAACAAAACCTTGGATTCTGAGTTGCTTTTTCAAATCGCGTTGTATTGAAGGGGTTAATATTATAAATAACTGATGCATTGCAAACCATGCATACAACCGAAAATAAAAAATATACACATCTAAGAATTTTCCTTGTTTCCAAAAATCTCTAGGATCTACACAGACCAGGAAGGGACTGAGGTTTGGATAGGAGTGCTTTTGTATGTTAAACCAATACACAAAAGGAATTTATGAGACTTGGGAGTTTAATGAGACGTGGAGTTTCAGTTGAAAGATTTACAACAAATGACAGACATGGTGACATTCGAAGAGACACGGTTGTATCGCAGCCATGCTTATGTGCAAGTCCTTTTATCTATGGAAAAACATGAATGGAACTATTCACCTAGTAAACATCAGTCCTCACGCAGCTCATATAACTTGCCTGTAGAGGTTCAGAGGCAAAGTTTCTCTCTTGAGAGCCTTCATCAAGCTACAAAATAATCATTAGGCACAGGGTGAACTAAGAACTTTCCTTGTGAGTGCAAATTATTATGCTTTATATTGTTTTTATTTCATCAACAAAATGACATGCAGCTATGGAATCATGGGGCTACTGTACAGTAGTCTGATATAAGAGAGCCAGATATTGGAAGTATCTGTACAAGTGATTTATGCATGTATGCCAGGAACACAACATACAAAATCTTATATGGGTCTAGGGAAAGCTCCAATGATACGTGAGGGTGAGGCATGTAGTAATAGTTATTTCACAGCAGTGATTAACATGAAGAGAGACCGAAAGACGGAACATTAATTGCTGGGCTGCTTAAAGGAACATTTCAAACACCATAACCACAACAACTCCAATAAGCCAAACCCCTCAACTGCCCGAACTTGGCTCAGACAGAGTGTGAAGTAGTAAAAGCAGGTAAGCAATGCTCAGCGCACCCCAGGTAAGTAATTCAAACAGTTTTACTAATGTTTTAAGAACCTACAATTCAGGGTGGCATGGCGTTCCTGGCACCATAATCCATGCAGCCATATTGGTTATCCTGTTTATTCTTTAAAGAATCCCTATAAGTAAGATTAAGAGATCCACCATATTTTCAGGGACACAAATCAAATATACATATTGATGGGCAGCACATGAAAAAGGTTGCCTTGTCATATGAGGAATTCAGAAGAGGGTGTTTAAGATTTATTAATTCGGTAATGAAGAATCTTGCAGAATATGCATTATACATAGTGCAGGTAACCCTTTTCATGTGTTTTCATAAATATGACAAACGTGTATGTCCCCCTGAAAACACGGTGGATCTGGTAACCCTACCTTTAACAGCATAGCCTAAGTGTGGCTTGTATTCCTTACTAAAAAAATTTATATATTGATATAGTTAAACATTCAGAATAACTCTATGGCCATTATAAGTTTACTTGAAAGTTCTCGCAAATTTTAATCAATGCGTGCTTAACAGGCTACAATTAAAACTGACTGTTTGTTGAACTGTACTGTTCTTTCCATTTGCATGATTTGCTTTTACCATTTTAAAGTATAAAAATTACACATAGAGCAGCTGTCTTTATTTTTTTATTTTTTTTGCCAATAGCAATTTGATTCCCATTTCAATCAAGCAAAACCTTAGTTATTCCAGACAGACAAATGCAAAGCACTAATCACTGCACTTCAAGCATAAGCAGAGCAGCTGAATTAAACCTCTTCAGCATATTTTTTTACCCACAGATTTTTTTTTAATGAGTGGAATGATTTAAAAAAAGAAAATCCTTCTTCTATTTCAATTACATGACATGAAGATAACGTGGTAAAATGTAAATAGAGGTATATCTTCTAAAAGTCAAGGTAAATTGACTTTGACAATGGCAGTGACTGGTGAAAGTGCCATCTTACCTACTACAGACCAACGCCAATTCAGAGAAAGGCTACCTGTCGAAAGCTATCTGTCTAAACTGGATCAACAGTAATAATGTATGAATAAAAAAGAATCACTTCTCTGGATATTACACAACTGAACAAAACATTGTCAATAATCTAGAACTTGTATTGAACTTTTTGCTATGTCTGTTTTTTTCTTTTAAATGTATTTTAATCACAGTCTAGTTCACTCCTGGCACAGACAGGGCACATATTGTAAGAGAACCAGAAACATTGCTTCTCCACTTACCGTGTACCCTTCAAAGTATTGATGAAGTCCACATTCATTAAAGGGACACTTCACTGCCCTAATACAAAATAATTAAAAATCACTGTTTAGTAGATATACCTCATATGAAACCGTGCATGCATGTAATTATGCATTTTGTTATGATTGCTGGTATATATAAAAATAGCTTGCAGATCTCTTGTCTGCCGCCTTTGCAAACCCTCCCCTTTTAACCCCGCCCAGACTTTCTGTGGCTGTCCAATCACAGACTTCCCAAATGCAGCTCAAAAATAAGTCTTTGCAAGGCAGGTGCTCTAACGAAACCAGGAAGTAACATGGTCAGCTGTCTGGTTGACAGTCAAAGGGGTGTTACCAGGTTAATTTTTAAAAGTCTAAATTTCTACTGAAATCTGCACTTTTTGCAAAATTAAAAAAATGGAGGACACACTCACACATAATGCTTTTCAGTAAGCTAAAGTACCTTATGTGTCTGGAGTGTCCCTTTACGTGATGCAAGTGATGCGCAGTCTCTATGGCAGATCTAAAAATGATTGACGAGGAGTCAAGAACGAACAGCAATGTGGATTCAGGCCTTCCAAACATATTTGTTATAAAATAGTAAACATAATATTAAATTCATGGGAGATGACAGTAGCCCTGTAAGTTACTGG